CATATCGCCTTGTATTTGGAAAAGCTTGTCACCTTCCAGTGGAATTGGAGCATCGAGCACACTGGGCAGTAAAGCAGTTAAACATAGACCAGACAGCAACTAGGGATAAGAGGATGCTACAGTTAAATGAGTTGGATGAATTTCGGATGGATGCCTATGAGTATGCAAAATTGTATAAGGAGAGAACAAAGAAATTGCATGATAAATACATTCAGAGGCGTGAGTTCACTCCAGGTCAACAAGTATTGTTGTTCAATTCTAGGTTGAAACTTTTTCCTGGAAAATTGTGCTCTAGATGGTTTGGTCCATTCACAGTTGTTCAAGTCTTTCCACATGGGGCAGTTGAAGTGACTCACGAGACAAAAGGAACCTTCAAAGTAAATGGGTAGCGATTGAAAGCATATTGGGGTGGTGACTTTGATAAAGAGAAGTCACTCACCCAACTTCACAACCCAAAATGATCGATCTGACAGTCTAGCTAAAGACTATAAATTAAGCGCTGATTGGAAGGCAACCCAACTTCTAACCCTTTTATTTATTCTGCTCTCTGCATCACATAGCATTAGATTTGTTTTGATTACTAGGTTGCATTAGATTTATGCACGTTTTAATTTGTAGCGTATCACCATCCTTAATACTCCCCTTAGGCCATTTAATTTATTGTTGGTATTTTGATTGTTTAGGCTAAGTAACACATGTTTTAGGTTATTTGAATTTTAATGTTTGATTTGAATTGCTATATGCAGGAACATGATATCGCAGAACACTCAAACCAACATAAACCAAGGAAAAAGCATAATGAAAAATTTGCCTAGTCGTCATACATAGGGCCTCACACATTCAACACAAAATATTTGGGAGTACCTTCTTCCTTTTCCTTTATGTACTTATTTATACTTTATGACATTGAGGACAATGTCGATTTTAAGTTTGGGGGTGAAAATTAAAAAAAAAATTATTTTTTTTCTTTTTCCTTTTTATGTTTTTGTGTGTTTGTTTTAGCTGAAAAAAAGGAAAAATTGAAAATAAAAAAAAAACCTCTTTTATTCAGTTGTTTGCTTGTTTGGGTTAGATAGTTTAGGTCAATAGTGATAATTAAATTTGAGATTTAGTGTTGATTTATGAACTATGGATAGGATGCGTGCTAGACTGATTGGAACATAACCTTGTAAAATTTGATATTAAACGAGCACTAGAATTGAGTTTGACATCATGATGAAATGAGTTGTTTCATGTTCTTGATAGGTTGATTTAGTTGGAAATAGATGTTTTACCCAAACCATATTAAACTAATTACCCTTAGACCAAATTTAGCACAGTTTGGGGTGATTATACTATTATAGGAAGATACGGATGTGACCAGGGATTCTTTGTGTGAAAAAGAAAATAAAATTGTGTGGATTGTTTGAGATAAACATGATAA